ATATACATGTGATTTTTGTATACCCATCAGACTTTACTCATTATTGTATGTTGCAGTATGCATATTGCATGGATGCATTTTTCAAATACAGTATTGTTATGCTGTATGCTCCATTGTTGTGTTTATTTTATTTATTTATTTGTGAAAGTTGTGTTAATTAAGTAGCCAAACATGCCCTTTAAGTTACTCGGAGTTGTCTTGACCACTAATAAGACACTTTGGAAAATGTGGTCTATTTTTTTCCTTCCAGCTTGGCTGTATACAAAGCAAGGACCACAAAGGCATATTTGGATGTGTTTGGTATGGTGGAAGTAAATCAGGCCTGAAGCCTATCGACTACCTTTGGTGTCAAGTAAAATAGATTGTCAGCCAGGCTGTCTCATCCAGAATCGTTGACCCCGACCTCATAAATGATCTTGTTGTACGGACAAGACTTCAACAGACACTGAAAACTGCTTAGCCATGGACAGGATGACAACATAGGAACATGAAGTACAGTACACACAAACGACAAATGGAGGAAGTGACTCCACGAACGGCTGTTTATTAATACACATATTTTGGAATTGAATTACTGCGCAGTATGAATTAAGAGTACATACTAGACCAGTGGTTCTTAACCTGGGTTCGATCGAACCTTTGGTTAATCAGTCTCAGGGGTTCGACGGAGCCTCTGCCATGGAGGTTAAGGCACACCTGATTCAACATGTCAATTAGTTATCACATGCCTGCTTGGCCATCACTGGTTGGTTCATTTTGTGCACAATTAAAAAAACACATACTTATCAAGTCAATTTTATTGTCAATAAAGTTATGTCTTATGTCTTGAAATTTTATTTAGTATTTTTTCCGTTTTTAATGAATGCGCTTTTTACGTCTTGAATTTGGAAAAAAAATCATTTTTATTTTTCACAAATGAAGGGTTCGGTGAATGTGCTGGTTGGGTTCGGCACCTCTAACAGGGTTAATCACTGACATTGACTTTGAGATGAAAACAAGAAAACATTAGCACCACCTAGCGGTCACTTTCAGGCTTACCCTTCTGTTCTTCGACTCAAGCTGATGCTTTACTAAGTGAAGTTTACTTTCTTCTGTTGAATGCCCCTGGGCCAACCTTCCTTCCTCTGCTACTCGGCAATTTTGAAAAATATAATAGCCATGCAAAATAGCACAATGATGTAGCTTCTTGATACATGACATGTATTAGTACCGGTAAATTCATTTGTTTATAAAGATTTGCTCAGGCCCAAATTCCATTTGTAATTTGCTGGCGATAGGAGTTCTTTTGACCATTTTCCAAACAGCTTATCCTCATGAGGCTGGCGGATGTACTGGACTCGAGCCTATCCCAGCTGTTTTAGAGCAGCAGGCTGGGTACACCCTGAACTGGTTGCCAGCCATTAGGTAGAATATAAACCAAAATAATGCAGCCATTAAACCCGTGAGATCCAAGTCATTAATGTGAGATATTTCATCATTGATTTATGTGCAAAAACAGTTAAATTAAATAGAAAAAAATTGACAGCGACAACTGTTCATGGCTTGTTTTGTGGGCTTGGTACAATGGAGGACCACACCTGCATGTCCCCATCAAACTGTGTGTTACAATATGTTGCTAAACCAAATTGTATAAAGTTATGTGTCTTATAAAGCGTAAAACACAAACGTGGTTCTTTTCACCAGGCTTCAGTCTTCACCCTGGGCTGCAATTACACGTAATTGCTTCTGTCCAAAGAATGGGTAGTAAGGGGTGGCCATGAGGGCGCATGAGTGTGTGTGTCATCAGTCATTCTTTATTATACCACCCACAGTCAGGATTTCATGAAATAAAATGTATACATATTCAGAACAACGCCGATATCACACTCGCAAGATAATGCAATTTTCTTTGCAGTGCCTTTGCTTTTGTGTATTCTCACATCTGTACTTCGATCTCATGCACCATAGCTAACAGCTAATCAGAGTGACCAATTGTCACAGACAGCCAATGGCATTTGCATACTACGATCAATGGCTCATTCATGCATAATCATAACTAAAATGCACAGTGACACAAAGGTCTGTTGAATCTTCACAATTCCAACTGTTGCTTTTTACTTAGGTTTGTTCCTGCTTATATACAGTAATGAGTGTGTGTGTACAAGATTGGTATTGCTGTGCATTTCATTTCATGAAACCATGACACTCAACAATTCCTTCTTATGCTGTTTTCTTGCTAGGGCCTGAAGTAATGATTTTGATTGACATTGACTGTTAGAATTGAATGTTCTTGGTTTAAAACTGATTATTGGTAAGTTGACCACAAAAACTGGCTGATACAAATTTCTGCCTATCGACGATAACATATATTTCTTGGCTTCAATGACTATCCACTTGGGACAAAAAGAAAACATTTTATTACTAGATATTTTTTAATTATTATTTAAAATACATTTTTACCATACAGTCCAACACGACCTTAATTACAGCACGACAGCGCGACTGTGCAGAAAAACCAAATCAAAAGATTCGTCTAAATTGAAAAAAAAAACGACTACAGGCAGAACAGAGGCAGTGGTTACATACATACAGACTGACGCATCAAATAAAAGGAACAGGAAGATGTTTTCTCTTACGGTTCAATACTTCAGTCCCAGATGCGGGGTCACGAACAAAATGCTTACTTTCAGCTTGAATAGAGCAGTCTATGGTCGAATTAGGGTTATAATTTGATCAAATCACAGTGATTAGCGCAGACAATACAAATGTGAAAGATGGAATTCACAACTCTTTTTTTTTTTTTTTTACCAACTTGAAGAAACTTAGAGCTTTCCTCTGAAGAAACTGCACATCATGCACAACACAGTGATGGAGGCTCTTGACCATTGCACTGTCACTGAGCAAAATATTGTTCTGATATTTTGAATAGAAAATAAATAAGTTCACACATACTCGTAAATACATGAGAACGTACTTGTAGATAGCATTTTTCCCAGAATAAGATAAGATAAGATATCCTTTATTTGTCCCACACTGGGGAAATATAATGCCAAAGGGTACAGACTTGAGCATGCACAAGTAAAAAAAAAAAAATTAAAAATTGTTTTTTGTAATTTTATGGTTGTATTATGTCTGGAGTGCAAGATTTACATTCAGCATTTTTTTCCCCATAATTCAATTTCACATGCACAACCCTGTGGCATTATGGGAAACAATGCAGAACAAAACACATACCTGTCTGTTCAAAAGGTAAGTACGTAAACATTGTTTATTCATAATTTATTCTTTTGATTTTATAGGTACTCTTACAATGAATGGGTTTTTTTTTTGGGCTCAGCATCGTTTCCCATAATGCCACGGGGTACTTCCGCATGCACATATCTTGTGGCATTATAGGAAAATCATGCACTGCAGACATAATAAAACCATAACATTAGTAACAAACAATGTTGATGAACTTCATTTTGTACATATTAGTATATGTAGGTGAAATGCCATTTTTTTCTCAAACCTGTTGGTATTGGTATAATAATAAAAGATTTGTGTTAGTTTTTTGTTATTATGGGAAAATGCTACATTTGTAGCATTTAGCCTACAAGTACATTTGAACGTATTTGTGAGTACGTTCAAATGTATTTGTGAGTACCTTTGAATGCATTTGCCAGTCAAAATATTTGTATTCCACATTGGCAGCCTCTGGAGTCCGTTGTTTTGTGATGATGATAAAAATATCGAAAACATTGACACAACTAAAATTGTAACACTGCTACGGGCACTCAATTCCACAGGGGCCATGGCGCCTATGGGCGCTATGAGAGTGAGATGCCATGGTGAAAGGTGGCAACCATGCTCACACAGGCAGATATTCTTTATCCTCTGTTAAGGACATAATACAGTCGTTCTTAATCTGGGTTCGGTCGAACCCTCGGGGTTCGGTGAATCGGTCTCAGGGGTTCGACCGAGCCTCTGCCATGGAGAATAAGGCATACCCGACTCAACGTGTCAATTAGTTATGACATGCCCGCTTGGCCATCACTGGCATCATTTTGTGCACGATTAAAAAACTTTATACTGTTACTACTTCTGTTTACTTTTTTTCTGAAATAAATGTGTTTTTTTATGTCTTTAATTTGGAAAAAAAAATCATATTTTAATTTTTCAGTCATGAAGGGTTCGGTGAATGTGCAGATGAACTGTTTGGGTTCGGTACCTCCAACAAGGTTAAGAACCACTGGACTAATATCATTGCAGCGGTGACTCCATGTATTTCTGTATGTCCGTGTTATACTGCCTCCAGCTGGCCAAGGTGAGCACAACAGGAGGGGAAATGTCCAATGAATTGAAGGGTATTAAAAAATATGGCAAAAACGGTTTACGGTACTTCTTTACGTTCTATTTAATTATGTCATTACTGTATGATATTATGAAGTGCAACATTATTAAAAAACATGATGCAAATTTTTATTTCCTGGGAGGATGGAACGGATTAATGGCATTTCAGGAGAAAGGTGATTTCAAATAAAAGTGATTTGTATCTCATGGCCAAACAGTGTTGCGACCAGAAATTCTAATTGAATACTAATAAATCACCTTCAAAGTATGAAATTTCACAGTGCAGAGAAACACAGTTCCAGTTCCGGCCTCCGTGTGTGGAGTTTGCATGTTCTGCCCGGGCCTGCGTGGGTTTTCTCCGGGTACTCCGGTTTCCTCCCACATTCCAAAAACATGCGTGGCAGGCTGATTGAACAGTCTAAATTGTCCCTCGGTGTGGGTGTGAGCGTGGATGGTTGTTTGTCTCTGTGTGCCCTGCGATTGGCTGGCAACCGGTTCAAGGTGTACAACGCCTACTGCCCGAAGACGGCTGGGGTAGGCTCCAGCACCCCCCGCGACCCTAGCGCGACCCTTGTGAGGATTAAGTGGATCAGAAAATGGATAGATGGATAATAATAATAATAGAATTTGGGTGGCACGTTGGACGACTGGTTAGTACGTTCGCAGTTTAGAAAATGGATGGATGGATGGAACATATTTGCTGGTCAAAATATTTTCACTCCAGTTTGGCAACCCCACGCTTCTGTAGTTTTGTTACACGAACAGAACACCAAAACGGCGGATTTACCACCACACCCCCCAAAAAAAAGAATTGGGCATCACACCCTGCAGTGTGAACGTAGCCTGTCTGACCGCGACATTTTGCGGCCGCAATGAAAGCTACATTTAAATGTCATACTCTGCACCTCATCCTTATTTCCTCGGACTGCTTTCAATTCCGCAGAGCGCTTTCAAATCTGCGGCAAATCCACGATCGTGGATTCCTGCTGGGCCTAGCAGGATTATAAACAGATGATGCCGCATCATCATTTGGTGTATGAGGAGACATTGGAGCACATTTTGTGTGAGAAATTAGAAGTCTTTATCCCAGCCAGAAGTCTCATCGGGTGTCATTTCTGCGTCAGGAGGAAAGATGTCAAAGTGACTGTGATCCATTGGGCCATTCAGCTGTTGACAAAAAGGGGACCATCAATATGTTGATGGGATCACTCACACCTAAATTCACAAGTCATCCTGTTAATTATATAAAATACTCACAATTTCGGTTCAAAGGTTAGTTCAAGTGACCCATTTTGGGGAGATTGTGAAACTTTGCATAACGTTGATATATGTATGTGTGCCCATGCAAAAGTTCTCACCTCTCTCTTCAGAGGAGACAGGAGCTTGTGACGCTTCAGTCCCTGCCAATTGAAGCCCTGGAACCATCTGTAGGAATAGGTCATACAAGGCACATAAGGTTGTTTTTTTTTAAGGAATGAATACATCAACGATGTGAAGGGAGGGTATATTATCCAGCAATCTGACCGGAAAAGCGATCAAGAAGAGAACTAGGAATGGTAAATGATGACCAATGACAGTTAGGACGTTTTAAGTGGACCTACTTGTGTTTCTTGATGTCAATGATCCCATTCTTTTTGTTCCCCACCCTTTCAACTGGGTTTAACCTAAGTGAAAGGAGCAGAATGCACATATTTTATTTTCAGGCATTTGCATTGCAAAATACATCACAGTGATCCTTTGGTACATCGTGGTTCGGTTATTGTGGCTTCACTCTGTTGCGGATTTTCATTTGTGACCATAACTTCATCTACTGCAGTTATACCTCTCTATTTTGTGAGCTTTCTTGCTATTTTTCATCCCTTTAAAGTTTGACCAGTAAAGAAATGTTGATTTTTTTTTTTAAGGGGAAATTTGTGTTTCAAAAACCCAGACCATGGACATTTGGGACAGATTCAGAAATTCACTCTGACGCCTGTGCACTTTTCTATGCATGCTCCCCTTCCGTTAATTTGCAATCACAGCCTTTGTTCTAAACCAGTGGTTCTTAACCTGGTTTCGATGGAACCCGAGGGGTTCGGTGAATCGATCTCACGGGTTCGACGGAGCCTCTGCCATGGAGGTTAAGACAATCCCGACTCAACATGTCAATTAGTTATGACACGCCCGCTTGGCCATGAGAGGCTGGTTCATTTTGTGCACAGTTAAAAAAACGTATACTTTATAATGATACTAATTGTGTTTACATTTTTTCTTTTTAATAAATGTGTTTTTTGAATGTCTTGAATTCGTAAAAAATCATAAGCTTTTTTTTTTTTCACTAATGAAGGGTTCAGTGAATGTGAATATGAACCGGTTGGGCTCGGTACCTCTAACAAGGTTATGAACCACTGCTCTAAACCAATCAGTATCTCGTACTTGACCTGCTTAATCTGGACTCCTTGGCACACTTGCGTATTGTTTTCCCAGATGGGCTGTCAAGAGCGTGCACTGGCACTCTGTTTTGAGTGCACTCCGAATAACTGAATGGCACAGTTCAACAATGTTCTGAGGTTCCGAACAGTTGGAATGAAGCAGAGTGCACTCAGAGATATTTTCAAATGCACCTCAGAGTTCGTCTGCACCCCCCCCGCACAACCCCATACCCGTTTCCTCATCATGCGTTTGGAAATATGCTCCTAGGGTCCTGTTTCACTCAGACTATTCTGAAACTCAGATGAATCGAAGTCAGCAGTCAGATGAATATAAATTATGGATTAATTTCAACATACCTGTAATTCAAGGAAACATCATTGTACACATTGTATTCCAGAAATGTAAATACAACGATTACCCCTTTGCATTAATGAGTACACAAGTTGCTCTCGTTTCCTTCTTTCATAATTTTGCTGCTGTAAATTGTGAATTTCTCCATTGTGAGACAAAGAAAGGTTTCTTATCTTAGCTTAAAAAAAAAAAGTATCGTGATTGCCGCTGCACAGCGAGTCACTATAGTATAGCCAGTTAGTATATACTAAATAATAATATTATTACCCTATCCGGTCCATACTTGCAGAGTCTCCTGATGAGGTCTTCTGGACGCTTGCCTATTCTCTTTGGGAAGTCAACCTTCTCAATGCCATGGAGGACCATTGTGTAGATCTTTATGGGGTCTGATCCAGCAAATGGGGGACTGGAAAACAAAATATATTGTGTGTTTATTGCAAAAATGCCTGATTCTATTTAGAAAATAATATCACAATTTTTTATTTTTTGGGACGCCAAAATGAATGGACCGTATTTGAGAATCTTTTCACAAATAGCATGAAAGAGCATAATTCCGTTTAAAAAAAAATACAGCTGCATTCCACAGCTATTACGCTGAGAAAAAAGACAGGCGGAGCGTGATTGTATTGTTGAGATGTTGCGGATATAACACGTGGAAATGTGCACAATGACATATTGCCATGAAAATTCTCCTTTTGATGTTTAAGTCAAGCTATAGTTATTAAGTCAATCCAACACACCTTACTGTTACTGTGATACCATGTTAGTACACTTGGGCTATTGCGGTCATCACACTGACAGCAGAGCAGATGAGGCGTGTCTGCTGAATAACGTTAAGCAAACCATATATCTATCTATCTAGAGAGAGAGATATAGATAGATATGATTTATTTTCAAGCAAGCAATGTAAATTGAATAAATCTGTTACGTGCTGATAATGCAGGCCATTGATGACAAATTAAGATGTATCACATTAAGTATCACATTATGTGAACATTAAGTGATAATGTGGAGTGTGGCACACAAACGTAGTAGTACATGCAGTATCTCCGATAGTAATCTGGACGAAACCACCACAATTTTTTACATTATACAATTATGGTAAATGAATGACTGTTTTAAAAACCACAACAAAAGCAATTTTAACCATAAAACATCCTGAAGTTACATGTTAACGTGACAATTCCTCTAAATCGAATGAAATTTGATATTTTCTGACAATTTCTCATTTGAGGTTACGGTACAATATTTGCCTTTCACGGTTGGTGTTGTCCAAAATCGTTCAGCTCCCTTTTCAAGGAATCTTACATTCTCAAAAGGGTTGAAGTCAAGGCACGATGAGTTTTTCTCCCATCATACCTGCAGCAGTTGAAGCTTCAATGGTATGTCTTGCAATGTGGGACAATGTGCGTTCCATGAGATGTTTTTAATAATGAATGAATGAATACTTTATTGTCATTGCACACTTGTTACAACGAAATTCTGCAGGAGCCTCCACCCCCAAGTGCGTCGCGAAGTATAAAAATATAAAAAAATATATAAATACATTGCACTCCCCTAGACCCACACACAATCACACGCACACGTTAAAAATTGATAGTCAGAGTTATGGAATGGATTTTTTTTT